AGGGGTATAATTCGAAACTTTGAAATCACTTTGTTGGAATTGACAGGTTCTATGAAAGAAAAATTATGACATCAGAAATTGTAAATTCGTGGCTCAAAGGGTTAAATCTCACGCATTTTATTCTTTAAAAATTTTGTAACGGTTGCAAATTTGAATTACTTTCAAGAACGTAAATACACTGTCTTTTGGAGTTTTTCTCGTTCTACGAAAGGCGGCTGTGAGCAGATCGCTTCCGTTATTTCCAATATGCAGGCTATGATATACAGACACGGGCTACCATCGATATTCCTGATTTCCTGGGTCGCACTCGGTCGAAGTCACACTCTCGGTGGCAAAGCGAGAGTTGCAGAGCGATGTCGAATATCCCAATGGGGATATTCGATCCCGTCTCGAACAAAACTCGAGTGCTGCTGTTTTTCGACCGACGAAAGACGAATGACTTGCGATCACGCTTTCACAGGATTTCGATCGTATTCGAAGCGAAAAAGTGTCAGATTCAAGTAAATGGATACGGCACCGTTAGGCTATTCGCTGACCTTTTCCAATTTTTTCGGTCGTCGAAAGTAATTTCCTTTTTGCACCGTCGTCGCGACGAATCCGGTGGAACGAGGAAAGGATCTCCGGCGGACCGTCGCCACCAAAGTCGCCGTTTATTTATTCATTCCGAGTGAGAAGTTCGTTCGCACGTGGATCTCAGTCGGGTTCCCTCGCTCGTCGGAGCCATCTTTCGCTTTTCGGGACCACGTGGGATCGAGGATTCTTGATTCCTGGGTAAGGGGTGTTTGCGTTCCGGTGACGAGATGGGATCGGTTCGTGCGACGTTTGCAGTCTTGGTTTGTTTGTTTGCTTTTTATTATTAATTTTTTTTTTCTCGTGGAACGGCGGTGTCGAATTTTGTCGCTCGGTCGAACCGCGATAAATTTTCGTTCTCTCGATCGGCGCGATCCACCGTTCGTCGAATCGAATATGCTGATTTTCCATGCACATCCATATGCATGGGAAAGTGAGCCTCCTCCGTGTTCCTGGCAATGAATCGAGGAGGATCATCATCGTTTACGCTGATGGATCCTTCACGCGCCTTCGACGATTAAGAGTAGCGATGAAATCGCGATTAATTTTTTTTCGTCGGAACGACAGGTACGTAACACGTACGGAAGCCACCGCAACGTCTCCCGTCCGTGCCGGGCAAGGTGAGATCGTCTGACCTTTCGGGAGCGCTTTCAGCTTCGAGACGAAGAATACCGATGAGTCCTAATTTCGAGTGGAAACGACATGTTTTACCTGCGCCAGTGGTCTAAGATGGGGCTATGGTAAACGAGCACTTCTTTCAGAGCGAGGTGCTTGCTAAACCAGACTGGGAAAAATGGGAGCAGAACTTCGTAGCTTCCGCTAGGTGGCAGACTTCGCTCCACCGAATCATCCATAGAGTACTGGGACCATCGACCGAGTGATTTCAGTCAAACCCGGGAGGCAGACGAACGAATCCGGATGGCAGAGGACGATGTCCGGATGGCGGCAGACTTTTCCGCCGATAGGCGAAGGACCTGCATACCAAGTACAGGTACAACCTGTACTCGAGGTATGATACACGCCATTCCGTGCGCCTCGTCTGCGACACACCGGTACAATACACCTTCACTCTTTCCGGTCGTGAGCTCCGAGCAACCGGTGATCCGTCCCAAAAGCCTCAAACGAGGACTTCGTTTGGGGATCACCGACACAGAGACTGCCGTGTCGATGGTGCCAAGGGGGCATCCCCCTCCCGTGCCAAGGGGCCGTTCCCTCCCGTGCCAAGGGGACGATCTTTTCCTTTGTGTGTGCTCTTGTTGAAAAAGTCCGTCACAGGTCCCGTCTTAACACTCCACATTTCTCATCTATGCACTTTCCGACTCTCTCACTCGTGCCAAAGCCATTCCCAAAGTGCTCACCGAAATGCACCCCATCTCATCTCCGCAAGAAACCATTCAGAACGAAAGTAATTCCATCTCCACGACTCGAACGCGGTTTCGAGTCGCCGTGGGTCCGCACGGCGCGAACCCACCCGCGCGTCAAGCGCGTCACGCGACCCGTGACTCACGCCTCTCCGCTGTTCGATTCGTTTCAGCATGAAGTCTAGACTCACGAGAGGATGGAAACGCGGGGATTTCATCGTCGGTCCACCCGAATCGGCTTCTCACCTTCCACTATTCGTCTTCTCTCAGCGGTCCTTATTGCTTGAAATTGATCGATGTTGCAGGTATGAGGAGGCATTGTCTCCACGGTGACGCTCCCCCCTCACTCCTGTCTTATCAGATACCTCTATTCCATGGACGATCATGACTTTTGTGATGGGGATATGTCTATTTACTACCTCGTTATTGGTAACGATTTTGCTTCTTGCTTTTTTTAACCTTGAAGGTATCCTGTCAAATTTTTTTTTTAGTTTCGAACGGGGAGAACAGCGGCCGAAACAGTTTCTTTCGCTTAAATAGTTTTTTTTTTATTAAGTCAGATTTTTAAAATTATTATATAAGGACTAGCGCAGGAACCCCGAAATGTCTGTGGAACGGGTGCAGTATTTTTTTTTTTCTACTTGACGGAGTCGTCAGAAACGAGGAAACCTGCAGAAACGCCACTCGGGGAAGGGAAGGAACGTCGTTCCCTTCGGTCGGCTGAGGTCGTTCTCGAGATCTTTTTCCCGCATCCAAGTTCCGATGCGACCTTTCGGCGTAGTCTGCGCTCGTTGCTCATCCGGTTTTTTTTAAATACTTTTTTCCCATAAGGGCTTTTCACACGTAAGTGAACGTACGAAGCGCGAAAATAAATCGGAATGCAATCCGTTCCAAGATGGTAAAGGGGGTTGGATTCGCGTCGATAAAAAAATCTTTTCGAGCGACGAGCATGTTCCGGACTCGAGACCCGTAGACCCTAGAGATTGCCGCCGTTCGACCCGTGTCCGTCCGCGAAACGCGATCCTCTGTCGTGTGTTCGCAGAATCCTCGGCGCCGACGCCCTTGCAAAGTATGGGACCAGAGCAGGTCCATCCGGAAGTCCATCATGGTGGCCGGCCTTCCCGAACTCGTCGTAAAAGGTCTGTCGCTTTCTCTCTTTTTCTCCCACGAACGCTTGCATGCCTTTTTTATTATTTAAAAAAAAGAATAATTCTACCTCCGGGGAGTCTCGACCGAACGATGGTGTCGTGGAAAAGGAATCGAAAGTCGAGATCGAAAGCGCTTCATTGCGATAGACTTCGTGGATTCGGCAGGGGTCACACTGCATAAAAAGTACATTAATACATTTTACTATTATTATTTTTTTGTTGGGTCGTTGAAACGGGTTTGCATTTAAATATTCCTGGGAAACAGCGACTCGATGTCGTTGGTTTGTTTTGTCGTTTGATGTCCAAATTGTAAAATAGATCGACAGAGATGGGTTTTAATTTTAATTTTTAAAGCAGTTGGAAATGCACACGTGTGCAACAGTTGGACACGTGGCTCATCGCCAGTAGTTCTCTTTGGGAGTTGGAGTTTCGTTTTAGGTGTAAGTGCAAAATATGTTTGCTGGGTGAGGCAAAAGTTAGTTGCCCCGAGTCACGTTATGCCGACGTGACGATACTTTTCTCGAGTGAAAAAAAAGTGCCGGTTCAAGAGGGACGAGAGTCTCGACAGTGTGGAATGATCAGGGACGGGATTTACATGCCCTAGAAATGTCAAATATGATGCTTTCGTGCTGCCGAAAGGAAGCAAAACATCCTCTAAAAACATGCTCGAAATTTGTTTCTCTGGGATGGTGGGAAAGTTTTTCTTCTTTTAGGATCTGGAGTAATTGCAATCGGCACGAACAGAATGGCATACCATCGTTTCGAAACTAACTGGAGAGAAAATCTGGCGATTGGATCTCAGCAGGGCTGAGAACATTAAAAAACTCCGCTTCGCGTCATCGCTGACAGGCAATTTGCAGGCAATTTCACAACGGACAGGTTTCACTTCCGCCCGCAAAGAATTGAATTTTTCCAAGATGAGGGTTTCCTCTACATTAAGGATTCAAACTTGTCCGCTGCGCTTTTCCCAGTAGACACTCGTGGAGGCTTCAGCTGCTTCCCCATCCCATCCCACCCCCCACCCCATCTCACCCCCAGTAATTTCTTTCTCTCTCGAAAAAGTTATTTTGCATGTCGTGGAAACTAATCAAATTTATGGGAAGTTATGCTTCAAAACGGTGAATTTTGGCGTTTCGTGCTGTTGCTACAAAAATATGCAAAAACTGAAGCATGAAAATGGTCAAATTTTAAAAAACGTAATCAGATATGAAATGAGATTGCAGTCTGCTTGTTACATGAAGGGGTAAATATTGATATATTTTGCCTCACCCGGTATAACGCGTGTATGTATATTACATGTCACCTCGGTTTGTGTTTATCGAAGAAATTCTTGGGGGAAATAAAAAGACCTTTCTGTAGGTCTATAATATATTCATCTGTGTACTTTCTCTTTTTACGAGCATGTTATTTTTACAGGGTGTCTCAAATGTCAAGAACCAGTATTTGAGTATTTGTCGAGACTGGTCGGAACCCACCCTCTTACCTTTCAGGATACGATGATGCCGAAGTTGCCCTAATCACAAAATCTGACCCAAGTGACCCAGAGTGATCCAGATAATTTACTTGGGTCACTCTGTATCACATCAGTGCCTACCTTGCTTCTCTTTATTCACTTTCTCATCCTTACAATATTTCTTTTAAAGCTAGATTTGATTTAAGTAAAGCTTTTGGGAAATATAAACTACTGGAAGATTCTACGAGTCTCCGGTCGCCTACGTTCTATATGTATATCCTTATACCGGTAGACCAATTTTTGAGAATGGAAAACACAACAGGTTCTTGTTTCAAATTTCAATCATCGTGACGTCAGTCATCCCTTTCTCGAGAGCAGCGACGACCCCTCGTGCTCCAGTTTCTTAGCCGGAAAAATTTTCTCGTGGGAGTAGTCCTTGAATAATTCCGGCACGGTGTAGTTGAGAGACAGCACCTGTGCGTGTCGTCGAGCAGGGAAGGAGGCTTTGAACATGGGCGTCGGGGAAAGCGTGAAGGTGGTCACTGAGGGAGATGGCACGGAGGTGGAGGACGGGGAATACTTCCATACCCTCCCCGATAACACGGTCTTCCTTCTCCTTCGAACCAATGAGAAATGGACGCCTCCGCACGCCATGGAGCTGGATCTTAAAGTTCAAGCAGGTCTCTCGAACCTTCTCTTTTCCGTCTTCCCGCGATGCAGGACCAGGGGTATTCACGTCTCGATCCCTTGCAGTGATCCCGAAGGCGGTGCGAGAGGCCATTCCTGCGCTGGGGTTGCAGGAAGAAGCGCCGAGTTGGCGACTCACGGACATCCGAGGTCTCATCACCTTATTCCTGGAATGGGATCTGAGCGGGAGAGGCGATCGTCCCTCGTTGGCTCTGGCGTCCATGGACCCGATATCTCACATGCCTCACAGTCCCCTTCACACCCCGGTTTCGCCCACGCCGACTCGAGTTCCCAAGGAGACGTTGATCAATCACGGGGTCGTCCCGGCCATCAAGGTCAGCAGCGGAGACCTCGGTTCGTCTCGCAGATTTCTTCAGAGCCAGGCTACAGCCGAACCATCGTTCCGGGGTCACAGTCCCACGGAATGCGATTTCCATTGCTGTGCCCTTCATCAGGCGGAAGGGCGTCACCTACCTGGATTCACACCGACCCCGTCGGGTCATAGGTCACCGCACGTCCACTTTCGGCCGAACGAGCGAGACGTGTTCAGAGAGAAACCCCTGCCCCCGCCGCCACCGAATGCAGAGAGTTCAGAATCCGAGACCGACCCTGGGATTCCGGAAGAGAGTTCCCGAGCCCGGAAGACTCTCCTCCTGTCTGATCGGGTCACCAGTGAGCATCCCCATCATCTGTCGGTCAGAGACCTTGGAGTCATCCTGGAAAGACTCAGTTCCAGAATCGTGGACGTGGAGAACTTGACGCGTGAGAAAGTTAACGAGGATGTCTACAGTTGGAAGATCGGCGCCGTCGTGAAAGGAGACATGATGAGGAGCCTGGGGGTCCTATATCAGGGCAACTATTACGTCATCTGTGAGCATCCGGATTCACGGAGTCATCCGGATCACCCCGGTTTTGGGGACCGGAACGATAGTGAAGCCGACACTCACATCTGAGAGACTTTCATTCTTCTTGGGCTTCCCTGGTCCTTGGATCCTTGTTGGGTTTCCGTCTTGCTCAAACAAACAGAGTCTTTGGGACGAGTTTCTGCATGGTTTCGAGTTAATATGACAGAGTTTACGATGGGGGATGCGGGTGTCGTTGACAATCCTCGGTGTTTGTTGTGGATGGACTCTGGAAGTCTTGGTGCTTCTTGTTACCATAGCAGAGCATGCACATGTATCATATTGTGGCGATTGGGTGAAAAAGTGTTTCGGCTCATTTCCTCGGTGCCAACACTTCCTCTTCTTCCTCTTCTTCTTCGTCTTCTTCGTATCCCGATGCCAAAGCAGGAAAAAAGACGTTCATCTTGTGCGGGATTCCTCATGGTATCCCAATTTTTTGCCAAACACGGATGAATGATGTGATTTTAGAATCATTAACTGCCATTAGCCACTGCCAAAGCGGGAAAAGCCCTCTCACCCTTTTGCCAAACTCTGCATGAATCATGGGTTAAAAGGATTTTTTTTTTTCTCTCAAAGGACCACACAATACAGAGCTATAGAGGCAATCACTCGCATGAGGCTACCATCACGACTTGACCCCGAATTCAAGATGACCTTGCTCAAATTCCAGATCAACTTGCCACTTACCTGTCGGTCGCTGCCACTTGGGAGGAAATTGTCAGAACTCGTCTGGATTTGATCCCACGAAAGACAATCGCATTCGCATACCGTACATCGAGAGACGTCTTGCTGTCTTGGTCAGGGTTCCGTGTTCCAGTAGGTTTTTTTTTTCTAGTTGGACTCGATCGCACAACTCAGCTTTTGTCGAATATGAATGCAATGATGTTAGGTTGTATAGAATGGAGATCTTGAAGATGTTTAAGGTTAGAGGAGATTCCAGCCTCACTTTAGACATATCTGCCAGGAGGAGAAACTCATCTCGAATGACTTCCTTGATTCCGACGAGTGGACTGGCTGGCACTTGCTGGGACCTCTGTTCCTCAATGGGGGGGGGGGGGGGGGGGAAACAAAGCCAAAGGCAGAGAATTATCATGAGTTGTTTTGTTTGCAGAGTTTGTGAGGAAAAGGATGTTTTGCCTTCGTTTTTGTCTGCTCACCTATGCAAATTGTTCACATTGGGTGTCCTTGTAATCTTGGTCGGGGGGAAAAAATACCAGCGAAAATAAAAATCTCCATTACCATTATGGAGAAAGAAGAGACAATATATCGAGGGCGATGAGAATCCTCATTTGCTTCTCTTCTGGTCTCTTTTGCACAAATTCCATGCATGCAACAAATTGTGTTAATCACGATTTCCCTTGTTAATTAATCTCATTTGATTGAGATCTTCTCCAGGTTCTCGACAGAGACAGGCAGGGATGATGTTGATTGGATGCTGGACATAATAAAAGACTCTCATTGCCTTGGGTCCTCTTCAGTTTCTTATTCTTCAACCCTCTTTTTTTCAATGTCATCTGATGCCCCTTCGTCTCCATGTATTCCCCATCAACCATCTCTCGTTGCTCGTTATTTACGTCTAACCTAAGTTCCTACCTTGCAACGAGTGCAACCCTCGTCTCTAATCACTGCCATGCAGAAAGCTACTACAGGTGAAACTCGAGGCTGAAGGGATCAGAGAATGGTTCATCTGGTCAGCCATTTGCTCCCTTTCTGTCCTTTATAAGGAGATGCCCTGATGTGACATTTCCTACGAAACAAGAGGCGTGGAGAAACCTGAAGACTTGGCACAAAAGAGAGGAATCTGGTCCACTTCCCTGTGACAAGAGCCGCATGGCAAGGCCAGAATGCTCTTATTTTTAATACTCTTTGTTGGAACTTTAACTGAAACTTGGTCTTAACCCAGATAAGACAAACAGTCGCTGAAAGTGCGGGCTTTGAAATATTTGCGCATTTCTCCCTGGATTGACCTTCAAGACAATATCCTATCCAGAAAAAGTACAATAGTTACTCTATCAAGTAATATGTAATAACCTAACCCTTACTTTTGCATTACGTTGTCATTAAAAAAAAATAATAATTAGCAACCTCTGTTACCGTTCATTTCTTGTAGTTTGTTCATCATATGAATGTCCATTTTCACTTTGACGTTGGCATTCCTATGTATTGCGCCTCTGACAAAGAATAACGATGCATTACTGGATGTAAGGGTAGCCATTCTTCCCGTAAACCAAGGCAAATAATAAAGAACTAAGGTTTCCCTCCGATATTACGGTACGCCTTGAAGCATGCGCATATTGTGCAATGACTGCCTCAACGAATTCGGTGGCAGAACCTTGCAACTGTTAGGTTTGTGCTGAAATATTGCCATCGACGTAGTTTTAGGGGGGGGGGGGAAACATTGGCAAATAAGAGTTTCTCAAATATGATTGGTGATGTACCCACAAAGAAAGGAAATGACGAAAATGCGCTGTGCGCGCTGAGGAAGCTGGAGTGGCATGAACCGCTTTACTGCATGGAGTCCCTAGCAGCCTCATCTCACCTCTGATGGGATGCAATCTCCTCTCCCTGGAAGACAGAGCGTGGGAAGATCTCATGTCGTTACGTGACTTGCTTTCGTTTTCCCCGATTCGGTCGTTTAAGATCGCGATCAATCTTCCATCATGTCTTCATGATCCTAAATACGATTCGATCCGATACATTTGTAAAAGTAAAGAAAGATGGATGATATTGAAGGAACTTTCGCAGTTCGTAGACGTCGGTTATTCTGCTGCTCGCTCTCTGGCTTCGAGGATCGGACCATTTTTCAGGTTGCGCATGATTAAGTAGAAGAGAAGCAGCTGGGTAGGAAGCCTCGAGGGGATTGCAGTTGCAGAACGGACATTGGCTGCTGCCAAAAGCCGTTTCTGCATGACAGAACGGTTCTGATATGCATAATCTAAGAAGTTCCGGCATAATGCAGTTTATAAAATAAAAGTTGTGGGCTCACCGCCATCACTGAATAAAAGATTGGACGATGAAGGACATGCAACACATAAAATGTGCAGGACATGGCCATCTTGTGAGGACAAAGAAGACAGCAGCAAGAATGATGGAGAGGCATCGATGAGAAAAATACGTTTGAGTATGAGATCCTCAAGGTGTCACTTGGGTCCCAGATCCTCACAACTGAGCACCATCACATTCTCAGACTCCAGTTCCTCTGAAAATAATTAGGAAAACACGTTTACCCGGCCCTTGAAACGAGCTAAAAATTTATTTGGAAATGAAGAATGACCACCATGCATACGGGCCAAGCACATTTCCCATCTTAATGTTCTGCAGGTGGCATCCTTTATTATACCGAGACGCACTCATTCTTCTCATCTCACAACTGAGGAAATATATGTGCTTTAAGGCTATGATGGCAAGTTGCTTTCTAGAAGTAATCATGGGGAGGGGGGGGGGGAAAGGACCAATCTGCCACGAAATATCGCACATTTATCCTGATAAGCAGGTGAAGCATCGGAAAGCAAGAATAATTTCAAAGACCGCAAAAAGCGAAGTCATTAACTACTATTTAATTTGGAAAAAAAAAGTCATGACAAACCCATAAGATGATGAGCAAGGTTCTCTTGATTCCCTCGAGAGAAAATGCTCATCAGAGGTTTGCGTCCCTCACAGAAGCACTTGAACTTCAAAGTGCTAGGATCACCACGATGCTCCACGTGATGATATAAAATATCGAGCACGGTCTGCATTTCTTCAGTCGAGGAAGTGGGTACGTGAAGAAACTTCATCTGATCGGCATCCTGCATGGACAAAGCAAAACTCGACGAGAATTGGAATGACTTAGGTCACAGCACGACCAGCTTCGAACGACACTCTTGCGCATGTGACAGGTTCATGATGTAGAGAAGGAGACAAACCCAATGCATTTCCAATCTTGGGTCTTGCGGTATGAGAAAAAGCTTATCGAGAACAACAGTATCCACGAAAGGAATCCCAAGGACCTTGGAGACTAGTTGCGTGCCTTGAAACTTCATGATGACGGCACCTTTCTCGCCATCCTCTTCTCTTACAAGAGTCCTGAAATTAAGTTTTAATCAAGAGGATAATTACATATATTTTTCATAAATGATCAATGCAGTAGAGCGTTAAAAATAAATGAATTTTTTTTTTTGCGGTCGCGTACATTAGTTCTATAAATAGGAATAAACCTGGTTCTGCATACACCGATGGCCCAGGGAAGGCAAAGACCATTATTCTTCTCAGGATTCCTCATTGCAGGAAGTACATATAGAATGGAATTTCCATTGTTGATTCCATTGGTTTGAACAGGTCGTAACCTTGGATCAGATTAAGTTAGGCCGTGGTTTCTATTTGTGCATAGAGCCATGCTCATAATCGTCTCATTTTGGCAAAAAGAAATCTAAAGCCTCAGAAACTGTAAGTGTAATTCACAAATCAAATTTTTACAGATTATTTTAATTTACATTTTGAATACAAGGATTCTATGGCGAGAACTGACCAGTTTCCTCAGACCCGTAGAGTGAGGAGGGGGGGCAGAAGGGGCAATTAGCCCGGGAAGCCCCCATGCTGGCACCATACCGACGGCTAACGTACTATTGTTCAGTAGCCTAGCGTTCATTAGCGATGAAGAGTTAATTGAGTGTGTTTAAAGCGGGGAGGGACGAGTGAAAAGGGGGGTCTCACAATTCCTTTCTACGTTCCTGAGTTTCCTCCGCAGACTCGATTCGTGTGAAAGAGTACAAAAGAGAGGCTAGAACCCACTCCTACAAATCTCGGTGCAATCCGTCCGCATTGATTCAACAGCCTAGATCCCGAATTATCGTGACGGTGCATATTCAAGGGAGGATCATATCATTTTATGAAGCAATTATTTTATTAAGTATTTTTGGATGATCAGATCGAGTCCAGGTCAGTCAGGAATTTTCTTCAGAAGCATTTTTCTGTGGCATGAGAAGAGTGAAAAGCATCGTGCCAATATTGTTCCTCCAAAATGTCAGCGAGGCTTTAGGTAGGACTTGTGAGATCGTTTCATTTCATTTAGGGGGGATTCCCATAAATCGAGTCAGCTTCCCAACAACGACATATTGTCCTCGGAAATATGACGGCAGAATGCGTTTAGATCTTCCGTAAACATATATTTTTACAGTGCGAGTCTGTCTCGACAGAAGTTCCTTTCGACTGAATGGATCTCAATCATATGATGTGACCGTAGGAGAAAGTTCGCATCGCTGCTCGTTCTAGTAGGAGTGGTGAAATAAATTCGCTTGGGACTTCTCTTAGTTCTCCGGGGAATTCTTTGGATTGAAAAAAATTCCATAACCAAGTCTTTTCTGCACGAGGATACTTTCCCGTCGGGACGACAGACACAATTATGCAAAAGAGAAGACTTAATGCTAAGGTGTGGGTTGCATTTTGCCAAGCACGCCCTGAGGGCAAGTAATGGGCACAAAAAAAATGTCACGGGCACAAACCTGTATATAGTAACCTTGGTACAAACCCGTTGTTTGGGCAAATGGTAAAGATCCTCGCGTTCGGAGTTTCACAATGTCACTGGCTGAAAGGTCAAATGATATGCATGCTCGAGCCATGGGCGGCTCGTGATCTTGAGCAGTAGTGGATCGTCAACGGAGGTAGGGTAGGCCCGAGCCTACCCTACTTCCATTCACAATTCACAATCGAGTCCATGGCCCGAGTAAACTAAAGAGAATGGCACCAGTAGAAGTTTATTCCCTCGGCGCATAAACTATTTCTGTTCAGGTAAATACTCTCCTCTCGAGTGAAAGGTCAGGCAGTCGAAATGCATGAAACGAGCTCGCATGAAGCCATGGCAACTGAGGGGAACCAAGGTTACGTCTTTCTTTTGCGTTGCGAATTTGAATGGCGATTGCTCGCTCATTTCGTGTTCCTCGTCCCCATGTTGTGCATGTTTACTGTTTTTCAGTCACAGGCAGCTAAAGATCATAGACACCCTAAGCGTCCATGCACTACAGAGACGTTTATGTTACATTCAAATGCAATGTTTTCATTAACACTTTATGAACTGGAGAGTTTTAACAGAGTTGAACGAGTTTTGTGTAAGCTTTCTCTTTCTCTTTAATGTAGCATATTCCTGCAATTCTCCAAATGGAATTTAAATAATGAAGGTGTAGCCCGATTTTAAACTCACACAAGTGCCATTAAGAGAGTAGGTAAAGAGGTACAATACGGCGCCTTGGTGCAGCGCCCTTTCTTCACTGGGCTCAAACATATGCAGCATTTCACTTCTACTTCTAAGATAAGATGCTTCACGATCTGACCGAGGAACACGACCCAAGTCTTTTCACGGAGATCCTGTAGGCGAACTTCTCCTGGAGTCACTCTGCAAAGATATGAATAGATGTGCAGGAAATGTCATTTTGTCTTTAATTTTTTGTGAAACACTTTTACGAAACAAAACACAAGGTGTAGATACACGCAGGGATAATAAAAATTCACGCGGTGTACATATTAAATAAAGGGAAGGCCCTGCATTAAAAATGCAATTGGTCTGGTTACTCCAAGGGGCATCTCAGCATTCCACGGGTCGAATGACCTTAACTCACGAGACGCAGAACTGCTCACTGCACAATAGGGAGAAGTGATGAAGAGTCCATGGGTCATCACTAATAGAGGGCGCCATACAACGGTCGAAGTAGGCGCTGGTGTAGTAAATGTTTTAAACGTGCTCTATTTCCTCTCAGAGGAAAACTTGACTCATCGACTCGTGGGAGCAGACGACTGACAGCCAATTGCGAAATAGGAGGTGTAAGAGCGGCAGCATTCTGGCATATTGGGTCCTGCAACTCTACCAGAGTCGCAGGATTTGTACGAAAGACCCTAGATTTAAAATATCCAGCGCCAGTTGTTCACGGGATTAATCCTTTCAGTCCTGGCGGGTCTCATAAATCTCATACTTTAGTATATTTTTCCGAGCTACGTAGGAATGCACGGCCTTGAGGCTTAAAGGCTTCTGATTTCCAGCGACCTCTTTTGGAATTTATATTTTGTGGTAAATGAAGTTTCATTATGGAGTGTTAAATAAGGAAAATTTATTTTTACATAACTTATAATTTTTAATTCAGGACTGAAAGTGCTAAGGTAGGTGGATAGCGGTGACCAAGTATTGTGGGAAGTGCTTGCTGACGATCCGCCAACTAGTCGGCTGTCAATCATCTGCTCCCACGAGTGGGCGTCATCTTTGAGAAAAACGGCGAACACGTCGAGAATTCAGAATACTAGCACCAATTGCAAGCAATTCGTGGCGCTCTTTGGGGGAGTGACATCAAACCCATAATACCATGCAGCCAAACGATACGATGCGACGCGAAAGGATACTTGACGCAAGAGGGTGAAGGCCATGAAATGCGCCTTCACTCTGGTATCCCAGCGGAATGCGGTGCCGACGTGGTTCACTTTTTCATGCCTTGAAGGGAATCCCCCTCAGTTCCTGCTTCTGGCGGTACTGAAACCTATTTTCTATGCAATTTTCTCTTTTCTCTTTGGTAAGAAACCACTACGTGACTATCACATTATTTAAAAATGTAATGGATCAGTGGAAATGGTTCAGAATGTAATGCACGGAGTTTCCGTTTCTTCCACTCCATTACAGACAGCCCATTTCCTCCAATCCGGTATAGAATTACAGAATACCCATTTGGAGCATGTGCATTTGACGGCACCCTATACAAACGAATAAGAACCATCACTCCATATATCGTATTGTAATAATAACGATTCCAGGATTGATGGCTTAATTGTGGCCCACAAGGAGGCACAAATCGTGGGAAGTGAGTTCACTCGCCACAGAAAGGACAGGAAATTTTCTCAGCGAACGAACTCATAACCCATTCACTCTTACAAGTACGAACTTGAGATCAAATAATGGCATATCCCTGATGCGTCTCGGAATCCTGCTTTTCTATCATCGATCGGCTCATCAAATGGTCTTCCCGAGTATCAGAGAAAAAAGGAAATTGTTGACGTCCATGCCATTGATCAATGTGTACAGTCCATAAAAAGAAACCGGTATGCTATACCCTTTTGGTATGAAGTGAACTATCACTTCATTCCAGTACGTTGAACTGGGAGTGGAGCCCTTTTAGCCTAAGATTTTAGAACGATTTTGCTGCAGAATTAAACTATTATTGAAATAATCAGCTTCCGTTCCAATTAGTCACCTAAAATGCATGTGGAATTTAGGAAAGTACAGTACTCTTCATCTCTCTCGTTGACTTTCTCGCAAAGGAGCAGTTCATAACGCATATTTGTTCTCAACGTGAATTCATTTGAAAATATTCGACTCGAATGAGTAGTTTCCATACTGTAGATATACAGGCGGGCAAAAGTATTTATACTATTTCTTCTGCTTCACCCTTGGCGGATGGCGAGAATTTGACACGAGTAGAGAATCTCAAGTGTCCTCCTTTGCATTGACGTGAACGAAATGCGCCGGGCCTCTGTCCACGTCAAGGGCGGACGGGAAAAGCTCCCAAGATGGCTTTGTAGCAGAGCGAAGCGTGAGACTCGGTACATTTTTCAGGCGGCATCTTTTACAATAAGGACATGAATGAACCCTCTTTCGAGGTTTCATCTCTGATCTCAAAAACTTGCAATTACCTCAGTCACGGCTCGAAAACGGCGCTCGGGAGTTTTTTTCCCCACCTCCTTTGGCGTGCATGGCTGATTTTTGATATGGTTTGAACACCTATTACACCTATAATAGGCTCTATAACAATACAAACTTCGTATCCTTTCATGAACCCTTGCAGAAAGTGACGGGAGAAAAAGAACCAGACTAGTCGCTTTTGTCCAGAGTATTAAAAAAAACTGAAAACAGACACCTCAGGAAGAAAGATGCTTCAGCGATGAAACTTAGTCTAGAGTCTCCAGAGCCTCATGATCTCGCATGAACCTGTATCGTCTCCTTACATATAAACATTACAAGTACACATTCGAACTCACACGTCCATTTCACACGACGGGAATCCAGTGACTTGGTAGCTGAATCGCTCATCAGCTTGGAGATAGCGACCCTGTTCTGACAACTTCACTGGGATGTTGATGAATAACACCTGCAAATTCTCTACGAGACCGGCATAATAGAATTTGTTTGCAGTGAGGTAGACACAGATGAACTGAGAGTTGTTCTCCAGATCACAAAGATGAAGCCGAATTTTGTGCTCTCCTGTTAACATATGAAATCAATTGAACAGTCTGGCTCGAAGAAAGCTAACTTAGAAATATTTCTATCCGACCAACTCGTGCGATTCTTCTTGGAGAGTGGCTTCTCAGAGTAGTGAAGAACATTGCGGATGATCCCCTCCACATTCACTCGTTCGGGGCATTCATTCTCTGCATTCCAGCATTCAGCAACCCTAAGAATCAGATCCGAGTTTAAATAAAAGTAAAGTAAGAATCATACCATATATTATATTGAATGGTTGGGCCGACGTGTGAGTCGTCGCTGGAAGCTTCTTCTTTGAGGAGGACATGGATATTACGCAGTTATCAGGAACTACAACGCAGCGTCCTGAGACTCCATTCATGCTCATCCTGCAATCGAATGCATCACGAGCTTCAACAAATCAAAGTATCGATCGAAAGGCAACCGATCATCTACTCTTACTCTCTATGGAACACCGAGGTGCCGTTGCAGAACGGTACCGAGAGCTTGTATCGGCATCCCACTTGCATGAAAGGATAGTATCGAGCGGCTTTCCCCCAAAATGCCAAAAGCCTGGGTTTCTCGTATGCATACCCGTCGTGATCGTGCTCGCCATCGTCCCCATCCGTCCGGATCCGGATGCGCGAAGATCGTCCGATCAGGATGCAATCCATCAAGAAGACAGAACTTCGCTTCGGAATGGGATCAGACCGAGGATAAGAGAAAGGAAGAGACTTTCCTCTCACGAGAACCCACTGGTGGAGTCGGATCTCCGGCGACAACTCGACAGACGGACTGGTGTGAGGAGCCCATAACCTGAGGCTCTGCGGACTGCACAGGAGGTACACCCGGGTGGGGCAGTCCTCAAATTCTTCCTTCACGACCTTGTAATGGCACAGCCAGCAAAGCCAGCCACAGATGAAGGGAAATCCGTACGACAGAGCATACGGCCAATAATCATCAACGACCAAGGCGATGAAGATGCGTCCGAAGTTGTTTTCGAGCTGAAGCATTCCTAGCTTCTCGTTCACGGTCACTTTTCCGACCAGGAGACCGTAGCCAGGTATCACGGAACACCGATAAGGTGATTTCGAAATCTTTGCAAGGTCACCGCCGACAAAGTCTTCGCTCAAAGTCTCTGGCTTCTTTAACTTCCAGTCCTCGTTCGTTGAAAGCTCCTGTAGGAGGAAAGCGATAATATTCTAGTACATTTGTTGTGTACTAGTAGCACTGCCGATCAGTTTCGGCACCTTAAGGCATTTCCAAAACGAAAATAGCTTCAATATTCTGTCTTAGCGAGCAGCTGGTGTCGGACACCTTGTACCAGCCTCTCTTAGCTCAAGCAAAACTAACAGGACTCTGCTCCTTTAGCGATGAATTTTGTTCTCGGAGTCTCTCCTGAAGTGGATTGGTATCCTAAAGCCCTTCAATAGAGGAAGTCCTTTGTTTTCTCATTCATGAGCACCTGGAATGCAGATTTTACAGATAAAATAGGAAAAAAAACATGTACATGTCAACCAAGCTTTCAGTTCATGAAAACCTGCCAAATTCTTATGAAAGCTACAAAGAAAAAAATTTTCCCTGAAGTGAATCGCCTTCAGTTCATACAAAGAGTAACGACTTTTTCCCTAATTCTTAACAAGGGACCAATGGCCTTACCTTTGTGCCTATGAAGCAACTATGGGGTTGAGAAAGACATTCTCGCAGGTGAATTCTTTTCATTGTCCCAGGGAGAGTTGAAGATCCAGTAAAAAGAGTTGTCAGCAGGGCGAGGAAGGAACTCGGGTTATCAAGCCTACAAAGTGATGAATCAGGCAGGCAAAAGTTTCAAATGTCTCAAGTACTTTCCATAAAATGTACTGTGCTGTATGACTGTACAAAGTCTTATATTGCACGATTAAGTTCAATAAGCTCCTGTTAATTTTAGCATGTTTGAATACTATTTGCCAGTCTGCCTGTCTTATCATAGGAACGAATGGCTGAAGAGCAACTACCGTTACTAGACACACGGACAATCAAATCATGCACCGAACTTTCCAGAGAAAGCAAATCCATTTCCATTATGTTTGCTCTTCGATACTCACTCGTCTAATTCGTGGCTCATCAAGAACTCGGGAACGAGATGCATCTTCAAGTCTTCCAAGAGTTGAATCATTTGGAAGACGTGGGGAAGCCCCCAATGATGGGTGTGAAGCATCTTCAAGAGGGAACTCCTCCGCTGCTTAGAGCATTGCTTTCCGGGACTGCACTTCGTATCACCTTTTGATCTGTGCAAGATTTCGGTTACGATTTAAATACAAGGAAATGTCCACGACAGGTTTCAGGAAAATGACGCTACTCCTAAAGGCAATAAAATAATTCCGGTGACATACTTGACTATGACCTGAAGGTAGCTTCGACAGCACATAATCAAGGCTGGTTTTCCATCTATTTTGCATTCGTGACCATTGTAGATCGCAACTTTCCAACCTTCCTGAAGACAGGGCACGTCAGAAATTTGTCCAAGGAAGCTTGTGCAAAGTGTTATTCTATTGTCAAGTACGTAGATGCCGATGCCATGTCTGCTTGCATCCACTACTGTTCCCTGAAAGGGAATCAAGTGAGTAACTATGAAAATGCCAACTGATGAGCAGTCTGGCGCATGAAAATGCATCACCATTGAATGAATCACATAACAAGACATGTGAGCATAGATAAGCATGCGAGGGCATACTTAAAATATGCAAGAGCAGTAGGATATTCTGGTTCTCCAGCTGTTTCTCGATCAAAGCATTGTCAAGGCATCTCTCGAGATGAATGGTACTCAAAACGAAGTTCTTCACGCCAATGTATGCAATGTGAAATGTTTCACGTGCTGAGCAAGCATTTATGGAATGGTGCAGTCGTATAGCCCCCCCTTCTCTTAAGGATTTAACCAGGGAATCTTACTGCATCTGCACTCATCATCCCTCATAACCCGTCAAGATGTCCATTCTGGGCCAGTGTGTCGGCAGGTTTTTCTAATTTCAACGAGTCTGCCTGCAAGAACTTCTATGGGTTAAATATTTCAAGTATAATAATATATTTATATTCATCTGACATCCATCGATTCCCAGTGAGAACTTGGAACGAGACACCACTTCACCCATAATATCAAGAGTGAGACGGTTGAACTTGCCTCCTGCTGCCTAATGGATTCTTCCACGCGATGCCCATGAGCTGTGAGTACCCCCTTCAGCTCTTCGTCTCTGATTCCTTGCATCAAGCATTCCTTTGTCGGCTTCAGAATCGGTACAACTGAGACTTCATTCTGCAATTTAATATAAAAAAGGATAAAACAGATGATAAACTGTAAAAGGAAAGTGCATTTACGCCTAGGCAGATCGCCTTCACCAGTAATGCAGAACCTGATATTGCCGTCAGAATGGTTTCATAGATGCAAGTACATTCCACACAAAAAAGCGCAAAAAAACCACAGACGGTGTCAAGGCCTGGCTGGTTCTCTAGCTGGCTGGCACCCGGGTTTATAATTCGAAAAAATAGCACCCCGTTGTTCAAGACGTGCTCTTGGTTCATTGCAAAGATGCACTCCTCCAGACGTAAAATCTCCTGCAACGTCCGTTTCTTAACCGCATGCCTTTACTTGATCAGGAGTAGTATGTCTGAAATGAGAAGACCGTTTAGTTGCCCTGTCTGGCGCATCGTCTTGCAGGTGCCTCCGAGTAGTAAGGGCATTAACTCTCTATATCTCACGAGAGATCATCTTTCCCGTTTTTGGAATGGATCGCGATTCGATTCCTGCTTCTAATAGACTGACCTTGAAAGGCGTCGGATTTGCCTAATCACTTTTCGTCTTCGTATTTCATTTCTCGCATGTTTCGCCTGCGACAGATATAGACTAAGGTGCACTAGTACAACTTTTTCATCGGGATACGTTTGGATTGTTCGTAGTACGCTATCACACGTTATGCCGCGTTTTGGCTGCGACTAAATTGTACGACGCAGGCGCACTGAATTTTGGCTATCGCGACAGAGCGTTTCATTCGATGCTGCCGAACCAACTCATGGCGACAAGACTCACGATTTTGCTGGACGAAAAGCGGCGTAGTGCCGAGAACGAACACAAAGCCCCAAACTTGATCTTTCGAGCCCATTCAATGTGCGGAGCCTTGTCCAGAATGATCAGATGCAGCTTGGGATCTTCTTCTCCCGGTCCGATTGCCAGGATGCGAAGACAGCGGAACATCTTCTCGGAACTGGAGGAATGGAATCGTTCCAAACTCATTTGTATCCACGAAGTGCTAAAGGGACTGAAATCTAGGAGTGGACAAAAAGTTTATAAAAAAAAACGTATCATTAATTCCGGAGGCTTAACTAAAAAAAAAAGCTGTCAGGTTGAAATTTTGCAGGATGGTAGTAAAAAAGTGAGTTTTTCAGTTTCATTTGTTCATTTTGAACAGAACATGAAGCCACAGACAAAAAATTCATTTTCTTCTCTTCTTCGCCGATCTTGGCCCAGTTTCTCCCAGGAACTCCACTGATTCTGCTCTTTTCAGCCAGGACTTTGATGAATCGACTCTTATGCTGTTTCAAAGGAATCCTCTTTCAAAGGCTTTTACCAATCACCAAAAGGGGGCAGGGTCCAAAGAGAGATTTTAGCGCGCCCAATATGTGTTGAGAATACCTTGGCGAAGATGGAAACCCTAGGAACACCAGGAAGCATGAGTGGAAGCCGATGCGATGAGAATTTGAATTTCCAGCTCGTGGGTATGAGGAGCCCGCGCTTCTCTTCACCCACGACGCCATTCAGCAAAAGTGTTTGGGATCTATTCCACTCTATTTTGAGAAGCTCTCCCTGTCTCAGACATTATGGTGGTTCTTCCTTAAAATGTGCTGCGTACACATGGGAACCTGCTCATCGTGAACGATCCTTGGATACACTTCTCGAGGACAAGTTCTTCTGATGCAACAGGGGCGGATACAGAGATTTTTCATGGGGGGGGGGGGCGGTTCCCATGTTCCTACCAACCCCCCCTCCCCGCCTACCACCATTCCTCGGCCTTTCGCCTTTACGTTTTCCGTCTGGGGTAAGAACTTGAGTATCTATTTCACTGGCTTCAATAAAATTTAATGCAGAAGGATTTTTAATAAATTAATTAATGCCAACCTGGCCATAGGGTCGCCCCCTCCCCTCCCCCCCTGTATCCGCCACTGATATGCAATCAAATCATGGAAAAATACACACTTTTTCCCCACTTCGACAGATCGCCACAGAAAATTCCCCTTCATAAGGACCGCAGTATCTTATATCTGGGTCAATAGGTTACCACAAGCAAAAGCACGGCCGCTTTTCTTCAGATAACATATGGAAAATGTGCAGTCCCGAGAGTCCCATGAATCCCGAGTGCTGATTTTCGGGGATTTAACTTTTTATTCCAACGAACAGCCATGGAATTTTGCGTCACGTACGGTATGAGATCTTGCCCCCGACAGACTGCCTTGGGGAGTGATGATCACAGGACTCGGAACCTTATGGCAACTATCGACGGAGTTCAACTATCGAGAGGGAGACATTGGTCAACGTCGTAGTTCTCCTTTGCATCCTAAAATCGCTTGCACCGATTAACAGTTCAGGTTTTCTTCGACATTTTAAAGTGCATGGGCTTGGTCACAGGCCGAAGCTCTTTGGATTTATCATAATTGGAATGAGATTTTGAAACTCACTATATCGTGTGACTGGATTCCAGGAGAACACCAGTTAATGCCATGGTGATATTTTCGGCACTGGACGAGTGCGGTTGCAGCTGGAACTCAATGATGCCCAGCTTTATTCTTTCCCATAACGTCTTCACATTTCCGCAGCTGGATTCTGGAAAATCTGCATTTTACTATTGTGATCTTTTCTAGGGAAAGCAGAAACAAATCACTAAAAGCATGCACAATTTCAGTTTTATTTTACAACTAAACTGAAAATCTAAGATTTATTTGAAATATAGAATAATGAAAATGCATACAGGATGTTCGTCCAGTCTCTACGTTCAATCCCTCATTTCCTTTCTATAAAAAAAGGAAATCATGAGGGAATGCAATCAAATTGCTGGGCCGACGATCTCGCACGATCATCTTTGACAGGAGAAGCCACCTCCTTAGAACGACTCCGTCGTGAACGGAGAAAATGGAAAGGAAATAATTTGCATGTAATGCTTCTTTATGCAATTTCACGATACCAAGACATACCCGAAATGGAAGGATAAGTTTTTTTTTCCGAGTATTACTTTATTTCCATCGATCGAAGACTTCATAACTTGAATATTTTTTGGTTGGAATAGACTTAGCTGAAAAAGTTCCAACCGTATCAAACTCTCTCTAACCAAAGGCTCAACCTATGAAAACTTTAATTCCGAACATCTACCGAGGGAAAGAGCACACAAAGCTTAAGTGAGGTGAAAGAACGCAGCCAAAGCAGATAGGGAGGAAAGGAACAGAGACCAACGGAAAGCATCAATGAAAGGACTTAGCAAGAGCTGAACATTTTTCGCAATACGACCCTAATTGTGCAAAACTAGAAAACGTTAATGCTGCAGCAGTAGAGTCAGAGATTCTAAAGCTAGACATAGCCAATACGTTTCTTAACCTACATGGTTGAAGAAATTCGTGGGAAAAAAAGTTCGGCAGTACTCTATTATCTCTAATTCACCACATTCACAGGAGGAGAATCCGATCTCTCGTTCAATCATCTCTGATTGATCGCATTTAAAATGCTATGGATTGGCAACACTACCGTAAGGACACGACATTTTCCCAGGCACCCCCGAAATGGAGAAAGGTTTCGTACGAAAGGAGAAACTGAAGAAAATTGACCCGGAATGAGAATGAATGAGGCGAAGCGGATCGGGGGTGTGGGATAACAGCCACTACGTACAAACACTCTTCTCATTCCGCTCTGCCTCATGAACCAGAAGAAAGCTTAGAGGACATCCCCGGAGAAGAATTCCCGGCTACGACACCGCTCGGGAACATGAAAAGACTCGGGTGTCACTCATCCAGTGTCCTATTTTACAGAGTGTTGCAAAACCTTTGGCAAAAAAAAAACTGAAAACAGCACAGATAAAATCACTGCATCAATTTGAAAGTAATCCATTTTCGGATCCGATGACAATAGTTCGTGTGCCCGCCCTTCGCCTGACGAATGGCCTGCAAACGCGATGGGTATGATCGGAGCTAGTTTTCAAGAGATCCGGCTCTTCGAAAGCCTCGTTTCGAAGAGACCTGGGGCCGTATTCTATTATGTTCTGAAGTGCGACTTTCCTCCTAGCAAGGTGCTTAGCTGGTATTTGTCCCATTCAAATACATGGCCGAGGGTTGAGCAATCTGCTTTAACTAAGTTTAAAGATTTTAATGGAATACGGCCCCTGGAGTATGGCATTGAATCCGGAAATTGACTACTTTCAATTTGATGCAGTGATTTTATTTGTGCTGTTTCCAGTCTTTTCTGGAAAAAGACTGGAAACAGCACAAATAAAACAGCACCCCCCTCCCTTGAAAAAGGTTTCGCATCACCCCGTATGTGCTATCTGTCACTCTAAATGAATAACGTTCACTTCACTGCCTCGGCTTGGATTCAGCTTTCATATTCTCTTTTCTCAATAAAGATGGTCCACTTCACCATGATCATAACCTTAGCTGCAATTTAAGGAATTCATTTTGTGAGTCATTCCAAAATTGCAAAATTTCAACGCAAGTCACATCCATATAAATCAGACTGAACAATAATTTACCAAAGTATGACTTAAATGTTACATCAAAACACGACTTGATTTGGCCAATAAGCTCTATGGAGGTGAAACGGATGCAAACTAGCTTCACGAATCAACATTATGCTCGTCTCGCAAAAAGTATCCCATTCTCGAGGATGCACCTCGGCCTCTGAAGGTGTCGTAGAGGCATGGGAAAG